TCTTTCTCATGGAAGGGACCCCTGGGGAAGCAGGGAAGGGCTGTAAGGAATCCTTCTTCTTGAGGAGGATGGAGCAGCAGGAACCACCAGCCTGTGAACTGACTCTAAACCCCATTCCCTGTCCCCCTGTGCCACAGGGGAGAAGGAGGGAGAGAAACTGTGAACAAAGTGATTTGGGCCCAGGAAGAAGGAAGGGGTGGGGGTAACATATGCAGGCCCTGCTCTGTGTGTTGTTTGTGTCCTGAGTGTGTTTGATTAGTGTGAAATTAAATAATTTTTTTTTCCCCAAGTTGAGTCCGTTTTGCCCGGGACCTTAATGGGTGAAGAACCCTCCTTGTCCTTTGTCTCAACCCATGAGCTTTGTCCTCTTCATCCCAGAGTGTGTGTATCTATGGGTGGGGGGAGCTGAGTGAGTGGCCACGCGGCCAGTTCTTTGTTGTTGTGTTGGGCCCAAACCACAACAGACTCACAGAAAACATGGCTCCTTCCTAAACTTTGTGACTTTTTTTAGGGCAACAATTTCAGATGATTCCACTTTCTCCCAAGTTCTTGAGGAAATCCAGTGCCCTATGGCACACAAAGGAAAGAGTTTTCCCCAAAATTAAATTATTTTTCTTGGTCAAAATAAGGCAGATAGGGCAAAATTTTTGCTTTATACTCGGAATGGCATGCAAGTGCTGAAAGGTCAGAGCCAGGGCCCAGATCTAATGGTACCTTGGGAGGGAGATTTCAGCTATTTTACAAGTGGGTCAGATCCATACAAATTGAAAGAAACTCAAAATTATGCAACAGGTCAGGGACGAAGCTGGAAGTAGAACCCACTGTCCTCACAACCAATCACCATATACTAGTTATTTCCATTTATTTCATTACTTTACAGTGGAAGGCAGGTACTCTTTCCAAACACAGCAAAAGAAGCAGATCTCAGCCAGCAGAATGTAGAGCCCACTTTAAGAGGAGAACATCATTAGCTCTTAGGTAGACGATTCATGCTACATACAAGTTTCTACAGGACAGAAAGGGTCAAAATCCAAAATATATCAAAGACCAGGAGAAGAGAAATGAGGCACATAATCAGCTAGGCAGATATCAAGCTCTTAAAAATATCCTTTGTATTACTGTTTTAAATTGCAGTACAGGGAAAAGAATACATCATTAAGTGGTGATGATTTTAGATTAAGCATTTATTCTAAGACAGGCAGCAATATCATTCCCAGACAAAAGACTGCTATTTTTGAATGGCATCAAATTGTGAATTGAAGCACAGTGGGTAGGAAAATGCTGCAAAGGGTTTTGAAACTGATTGCTCATCTATGTAGTAAGATACACCCTTTTAAAAGTCCTGCTGTGACCAGTATAAAAAGATCAGGGGTGAGAGCCTGCATGTGGTCTGCCAACACATAGGAAACAGAAGGAAAATCTTTGTCAAACATAGGTGTGGGTACATTACAGGTACATGAATAAGCCAATACAAAATGATGATAGAAAGTTATTCCACAAGTAAAAATTATCTGAAATCAAGGTAGTTGTGATTTAAAGCCGTAGCTGATTATAACAGGGGCTAGCAAATTTTCAAACAAGGGGTGCCAGAGCTGTATTTTTCTTCTTAAATTAGAGGAAAAGTGTGACAACAGCAGCTCAGCAAGAGCAAGAAAAGTTTTCCCTTCAAGAGAGAAGATGTTGCCAATTAATTAACTGGTGGTATCTTACCTGCTTCTGGTATTCAAACGGAGCTGTGAGAGCCCCTTCTCTGCATGTCTTCCTTGGGATGCTACACCTGCAAGAGCCCACTGCAAGCTATTAAACTCTGCTTGCTTCCTGACTTGAGTGCTGGCTGTATCTTATGAGGCCTTGGTTTGCCAGTTGGCAACTGATGTGGTTAATCTCTTTTTGTTGTCAGTGAGATTCCCTTTGATTCATGGATGAAATGCAGTGAGTGAAAAATGTGCACTGAAAGCTTTACTTTATCTGAGTGAGTTCCTTGGTGAATACTCTGCGAGGACGTGAGAGGGTTGGAGTGTTGTGGCATAGGGCACCAGGTTTGCCTCCAGCTTTAGGGTTTTGTTAACATATGCGTTGGAAATCCAGCCAGAGGCTGTGAAATTTACCATCCCAGGCTTTATTGATATGCACCATGCGCTGAGAAAATTGTCTATGTCTAAGTTAAAGGCAGAAATTGCTTCAGAAATCTGCTGCTTTACACAGTAATGGGGTTGCACAAAGCACTCCCTACCAGCTCCACCTGCCACATAGGCCTGGCTCCCCCACCAGTGTGAGAGGGAATGGCCAGTAAATGGAAAAAAATACAGCTTCTAGAGATTAATTTTCTATCTGCACTCACACCTTATTTCTGAACATTCCTTTCAAGCTCTAAAACCCTAATTTTATATGAAAGAGAATATCTGTTAACACTTCAGTTTATATGGTTTTCTTTAGTTTTCAAGTGTTTTTAGTTTTCTTCAGACAATCATGGTATTTTATTGGGCTCCTCTTGCTATGAATTTGCAGGGTATACATAGGAGAATGTATGTATGCAGCTGTAAAAGGAAATACATATTAAATGAGAATAGATTGCATATAATCATTTTATCAAGTTTTCAATGATAAGGTATTCTATCATCTTGCTACTTCAATCTGGCAGGCATTTGGGAATTTTCAGTTTTTGAGATGTTGCTTCTCTTCAACCAGCTGCCACAAATGGAGCCAAAATCTATTTCAAAGGAGGGTGTAAACTACTGTGTGGACTATTCCACCAAAAAGCACTGGAAAGCTCCAAGGCCTTGGTTTTCTATTGCATCAAACCTTTCAGTTTTCACCATGCAATGTAGAAAAAAAAAATACTGTCATGGTTTGAGAGAAAGTTGTCATCAATATAATGTGATATACATAATTACACCAGTGGAGGGCAATGCAAATGTGAACTCAGCTGCTTTCTGCCAACTTGTCCCTTTTGAAAATGAGAGAATTGGGAACAGCTGGCCATTGGCATGAACACCCTTTTTGTAGGCATTGCTATCCCAGAGGACAGTTTTGTCTCTGAATGGTGTGGGAAAGAGGCCATGGGATTAAATTTAGGAAAAACACATTCTCTTGAGTTTTTAGCAGAGTTTTAAAGGGAGAAGAGTGATAGTTTTGTTTTTTTTGTTTTGTTTTGTTTTTTTTCCTGTAAGTAGGGAATGGTTGTAGTTCTAACTTCTGAGAATGAAACTGGAAGTCTGAACTCTTAAGTTGCTGGGTTTTGGTTTTTGAGAGGGGCTTGTGGGGGTATTTTTGAGACATTTTCTTGACATTTTTTTTTGTGGGTTTTTTTTTTTCTTTTCTGGTAGATGTCAGTGCAACACTTTAAAACACATTTGTTTTGTCATTGTACAAACCTTCCTTGAAATTCAACCTATGTAAAGAATGTGAAAAAAAGCGATGCAAAATTTTGTCAGCATGTAGGGAATCATCTATTGCTTCCATTTGAGCTTGTCTGATGACTTTATTGTTTTAGACAGTATACTAACTGCTGGCTCGGCCTTTCACCTTCTGTCCCAAGCAAATATTGCCAAAAGATATTGAAGTATTTTTGCCTTCTGAGATAAAACAGAGTAGTGTGATTTTTTGGCAGAGGTTAAGTTTCCAACATCCAGTAACAGGGTGTTTGGGCTGAAAGATGGCGTACAATTCTAGTAGACTTAATAAAAACTATGGCTTCTGCCCTGTACAGAGGTCAATAAAAAGACCTCTAAAGTCTACAGAGTTTATCCTAATGTCACAGGACCAATGATCTAATTACAATTTTGATCATTTAAAGCCTTGCATGCTGTATAGTTATTTATGTTGGTATGAAGTGAGCAGAAAATTAAATTAAAACACTTTTTTTTTTTTTTTTCTTTTTTTGGCTGCTGCTCCCACAGTCTTCAATTCAAGATCTCTGCATGTCTGTCTTGTCTGGCAAATCTGATCCACATTACACCTGGGTGCACAACTGTGTTACTGTCACAGTTGCCAGAGCACATGATACAGTGGTTATGCAAGATTTAGAAGAGCCTGCCTGACATAGAAGCTGTTACAATAAAGTCACTCCATTATCATGTTTTGAACAGTAGACTACGCTTATGTTGTTTAGCATTTTGTGTTGTATGTGATATTTCCAAGGTTATATTATTAATGAAAATGTGTTTGCTGTCCTTTGGAATGCTGCTGGTTGTTCCTTGGTTTTATACAAAACTTTGCACAGCAATAAATGACAAAATCCAGAGAAACTGCTGTTGAAAAAAGAGAACAACAATAGTGCTTTTCCTGGGATTTCAAAGACTGACTTTTTTCTGACAGTGGGGCAAGAAGTGAAATTACTATTCAGATTGGTGTTAGTGTTCAATATTCACATGATATATCCAATGCACAGAAAAACATTTGAGTTTGGTAGCTCTTTTACAATCATTCCCTACTTATAGAACAAACAACAAATACTGCCAAAG